ACTTTCATGCTGATATGTCTGAAAAAGGACTGTGTGCTCCGAAGGCCCAAGACATCTGTTGGTATCGGTGAAATGATTCCCTTGACACTTGACCTTTTCCCAGAAAATTAAGAGTCTGTTAGCTTCAACCAAATGCAGTCTGTGGGTTTCCTACCTCTCCTGAGACACTGACTGTACCCACACTCTTCAATATATTAGTGAAGTCTAGGCTATGTTGTTCCTAGGAATTTTTAAACTTTCTAACCAGAGACTGACTCGTAAGGGAGAATCAGGGAAAAAAGAATTCCTTTTAGTATTGCATCACAGAGAAGAGGATGGAGTGAGGGAAATTATATGACTCAGGGTGAGTTTGCACAGAGGAATGGCCACTAAAAACTGAAAAATGGCTGCTTCTCCAGAAGCAGGGTTGCTTGGTTAGCTGAGGTGTGAGTCGGGAATGTAGGGAGCTTTCTGTGAAGACTACACATTTGATCCTCATAGAAAACACATGGATGTAATTGGACTTTGTCCCTGTAGTTGTAATTGGATTCACTCAGTTGATGGATCTCACTTGACTGACCCTTGTGGCTGTACTAAGTGCTTATGATACACCAGGGAGCAGGTCACACACAGTGCTGTTTGATCTTGAGACACTTGGATTATGTCAGTGCAAGCAGAAGGGGGACAGTAAACAATAAGTTGTAGGCAGAATAGAGGTGATGTATGCTGTACTGTAGGAGGAATCCCAAGTGTAGAGTAGTGGCCACCAGAAGGGAGTCCTGTTGCAGAGGGTGGCATGTAGGAATACCTGAAGGAGGTCAGGATTGAGCTGGGCAGGCATCTGGAGGGACTTCCTGTTGAGGGAACACCCAGTGTGCAGGAAGCACACACAGGAAGATCCTTCATGGGATTCATAGTCTTTCCCTGTTGTTTAGGAAATGAGGTGAGCATTGCATATTCCTCATCTAAATTACCAATGTACCAATATAGGCAGTGCAGGCATCAGCCTACAGAGCACTGTGTGAGTAACCTTGGAAGGGCATTGGAAAGAGGTTTCATCAGGAATGGTGGATGGACCTGATTTGAGTTTGGATGGATATGAGAATGTGTTGAAATTCATAGAACTAGATACCCAGAAAGTCCATTTTACTCCGTGTTATGTAAAAGGATAAATATTTTCAAATGCACTTTGGCACTGTTTTTTTAGGTGTTAGTAGGTGTTACTCGATTTGAGCTCATTCTCATGCAAATATTGCAGCCCCATCATAATGCTCTCCCTACCACTGTTGGACCTCCTAGTGCACGGGGGACACAGGTTGCTCACTGATGCCAGTCATTGTTTCAGACACCTCAACTAGTCACTTAATTCTCACAAGAATCCTATGAGGTAGTTGCTATCATCTGATTCCTGCAAACAAATAAACTGAAGTGTGGGGAGATGAGATAATTCTTCTGAGAAGCTGTTGACAAAAAGTAGCAGAACCCAACAGCTCACCCTTCAGACTAACTGATTCTGTCTGTCTGTCTAACACCAGAGTGTTGGGACTATGTGTTCTTTAGCTAATGTGTTTGGGAGAGGCTTGTTCTGGCTAAGAACCACCATTGGAGTCAGTTTGTTGGATGTTGCAGACCAAATAGGAGGATTGACAGGATGAAGCCTATATAAGGAAACCTATACGAGAAAAGGAGAAGCCATAAGGTGAGGCTTCTGGCCTAAGAGTTGATGGATCCTAGGTGGGAACCCAGGAATATAAACCCACCTGAGGGAGAGCAAGGAAATGAACCCAAGTTCCTCTGACACATCTGAGCAGAGATACCTGCTTTCTTTGCTGGGCTGAAGTCATGGTGGAATGGCTCTCTTCACTCCACAAAGTTCTTCCTACTTTGATGCAAGCTTATGACCCTGCAATTGTCCTTCTTTAGGCTCTACAACCAAGACAACCGGTTTTCATCCTTCTCAATACTCCCCTTTCCCACCTTAACACCTGAGAAGTAAGCTTGCAAGGCTGCCATGGAAAAGGATTTAGATTTATTTTTTTTCCAATCTGATGTGGCCTCTCTTGCCCTCTCGTGACAAGTATGTGGCAATGTCACTACTTTTGCACTTCACGGTCATTAAATAAAATACTGGTCATTTAAACACAATAATTCTTATATTGTGATAATCAAATTCTGGTGACCAAGATGGTGTCTAAGTGACTGATGGGCAGGTAACATATACAAAGTGTATGCACTGGACAGTGGATGGTCATTTTCCTGGGTGGGGTGGGATAGTGCAGTGTGAGATTTTACCACACCACATTGAACAATGTGTGGTTCAATGTGGTTCAGAACACATGAATAGTATGTTTCTGGAACTTTCAAATGTAAAGTCTTTGGACTTTGGCTAACACTGTGTATCTAAAAAAAAAAATGAAACCTTGATTAAGGAAGAACAGTATATAAATCCTCCACATTCTGTGTCCCATGGCCAAGAAAACTCCACTGTGACTCAGCTTTCTATAGAGTACTGTCACAGTTGTATTAAAGCCAAAATTATTATCAATATGGCTTTTTTGATCTGGTACCTAATCTGTCTCTATTTCTCTAAATAGTTTCTTGTGAACTTGTAATTTCCCCCCAGCAGACTGGGCCTCCTTTCTCTTCTTCAGATGTACCAGCATCTTTCCTTTCTTGGATAGTTTGTACATACATGTGTCTTCATTCTTTATGCTTCTTAAAAGACTGACCAAATACAACCAACTGCCTTTGTTGTATGGAAACATGATCTCCTTCATAGTAAACTTTTTACCTCTTCATACACATTAAAACTTAAATGAAGCCACAATTTCTTCATACCAATAATGACATGAAAATGAAATTAATTGACAATGGCATAAAAAATTTAACAATGAATTTTACACAAGAAGTGAAAGATAGGAATGACAAAACATGAAAAACATTAATAGAAATAATGTAAGTGATACAAATACATGGGAAGGTATCTTATGTTCATAGATTGGAAGTCTGAATTGAACACAACCCCTATCAAAATCTCAATTAGTTATTCACTATAATATGTGGGGAGTCAAGAGATGTTTCTGTTCCTCTCAAGAGGATCCGCCAAGGATTTGCTGAAACTGCACTGCATCCCCATCCCTCCCTCAGACCAATTCTGTTTTTCATTCTTGCTGGCAGTTGTTGATTGGCGTGGCACTCTTAAATAGGCCTGACTTTAAGACACTATGGGGAGAGAGGGGCCTCTCTGAGGAACTTGATGCAAAACAATGGGAAGGATTTTTAAATACATGTTCCTGTCAAGTGCAGTAGGACATCATCAAGTTAGATCATGCAGAACATGAAAGTTAGCCTCAGAGCTACCAAGGTGGCTTCATCAGTAAGGTTCTTGAATTGTAAATATGATGACCCAGGTAAAAATCAGGCACAGCAATATGTATTAGTGCCTTAAGGATGTGTGGCTTGACCAGAAATGGGCACAGGGGAACTTTCTGAGATGACAGAAGAAGGCCAACACCACCCCCACCTTATCATTTAACAAAGATGTGGACTGTAAAGACTTTAGATTTTACTTTAAGTAAAACTTATAATAATAAAGTATAAAATATATCAAAAACATATAATTCAGTTCCATGGCTTAGGAAGTCATTGTTCTCAATCTCAAATAAAAATGAGGTTTTAAATTTTATTCTTGGGTTGGTGGGATGGCTCAGATAATAAAGGCCTGTAGATAACTTCACATTTTTCTCTGGCTCCCATGGAGTGCACACACACACACACACACACACACACACACACACACACACACACACACACGAACACCAAATCCATTAATAAACAAATGGAATAAAAGATTTCCAGAAAATAATTGTGTGTGTGTGTGTGTGTGTGTGTGTGTGTGTGTGTGTTATCTGTTTTTGTTACCATAACAAAATGCCACAGACCATATGGCTTAAACAGCAGGAATTTATTTTCTCACAATCTGGAAGCCTGACAGCAGAATATAGCATGGTGGGGTCTGGTCTCACCTCTCTGCTTGCAAATGGCTGCCTTCATTTGTGCCTTTACAAGGTGCAGAGGGTGTCCCTTCCTAAGAAGGGGTCTACTCCCTCCCTAGGGCTCCACCATCAACATTTACCCAATTCCAATCACCTCCCAAAGGCTTTATCTCCAAATCTCTTCTCACTGGGGATCTGATGTTCAACACACAAACTTAATGGGGGCATCTCAGTCTTCAGCATTATACATTCAAGAAAATTTGGAAAACACAAATAAATAGGAAAAAGTCAAATAACGTGTTATCAAAGTGTATTCACTGCTATGACTTACTTATAATTTCTAAGTTGTGCTACTTTTATATGGCTGTAGTTATTCTACATGTAATTTTGTATTATTCTTTCTTTTTTCAGTACTGGGGATCCTACCCAGGATTTCCTGCATGCTAGGTCCCTCTACTGGTGAGCTATAGTCCCAGTCATTTAAATTTTTTTATATATTTATTTATCCGCTTAATTCTGAGAGAGGCTCTTACTGATTTATTTGAGCTGCCCTTGAACTCGTGACAGCCGGGCAGGCCTTGAAGTATTGATCTACCTTCCTCTACCTACAGTATAGCTGGGATGCTGGCATGTGCCAGCAAGCTCCAACTTGATGTGTTTAACATAACAGCATGAAACATAGTTTTGTTACTAAAGATGCTCCATGAGCCCCTTTTGAAATAATTCACTGTGTCATCCTGTGACTGAATATTGAGTGGCTTCCGGGTGTTTTAACACTGTCAGTAAGGCTCTGATAAATCTATTTATGCATGAGGTTTTTATGTGTTACTTAGATTATTTTTCTTAATGTGGAATTCCTGAAGATGGGAGTTGTATGCTTTTAAGGCATATTGCCAAATAGTCTCTAAAAGTGTGTCCCAGTTTGCAAAGCCACGAGCAGTGTGCTGGAAATGTACTTCATTGTTTGATTTTTAAAGGGGAGGAGGTTTGGCTCCACTAATGTGCTTACTGGATTGTTTCCAACAGGTAAACAGAATCCTGTGAAGCCCACTTCTGGTGGTATAGAACCCCTGGGCTGCTCGGACCACAAGCCTCCTGTTCCCTGACTGCTGGCAACCTGCACTTTAAGCCTCACCTAGTTGCTTTTGTGTGGACGGAAGGAGGCTTCTGCATCTATCGCAGCCATGAACTTCCTCCGGAGGCGTCTATCTGACAGTAGCTTTGTGACCAACCTGCCCAATGGCTACATGCCGGACCTGCAGCGTCCAGAGAGCTCCAGTAGCTCCCCAGCATCGCCAGCCACAGAGAGGAGGCACCCCCAGCCCCTGGCTGCCTCCTTCTCTTCTCCAGGATCCAGCCTGTTCAGCTCCTTCTCCAGTGCCATGAAACAGAGCCCACAGCCCCCCTCGGGGTTAATGGAGCCACCAACTCCTGTCACACCCGTGGTTCAGAGACCCCGGATTTTGTTGGTGATCGATGATGCCCACACCGACTGGTAAGCAGCTTCAGGAATGGAGCCTGCATGGGGCTATCTCACCTCTTGGGAGGACAGGCTAGACAACTAAGTGCTCTAAAAGGCTTATATTGTTTCTGAGGCTAGCTGGGTGCAAGAGGGGTTCACCAAAGAGAAACTGTATGCCTTTTTTTTTCCTAGGGGCCTTACACTGACTGGAGCCCCATCTGCAAACTCCAAGTTTAACAGCTCTGAAATAAACAAACAGAGATCTCAAGTCTGGAAATTTCCGTGTGTATGCTGTAAACATCTTAAACGTGTTTGATATAGGTGCTGCAAGTGTTCTAGAGATGCACAGAAACCACATGACCTTTCTAAACAAAGAAAGTTCTTTTTTTCTTTTAACAAGGAAAGTTCTTAAGTGGCTATTTAATCCAACATTTTTTACCAGTGTATCTGTGGTGTGTGTGTGTGTGTGTGTGTGTGTGTGTGTGTGTGTTTGTGTGTGTGTGTGTGTGTGTGTGTGTGTGTGTGTTCTCATGTATGTGTCTTAATGAATATGCTCTGTGTGGAGGCCTCAAGTTGCCATCAAGTGACTTGCTGACCAGTCTCCACTTTATTTAGAGGCAGAGTCTCTCAGTTAACCCAGAGCTTACTGACTCTTGCTAGATGAGCTAAGCAGCTACACACACACACACACACACACACACACACACACACACACACACACACACACACACTCACACACACCCCACACACACACACACACACCCACCAACACACCCACACACACACACACACACACGGCCCCAGGATTCCCTGTCTCTACCTTCCAAGGTAGACAGGTGGCCACCACAGCTGTTTCTGTGCAAGTGTTCAGATGCAAGCCAAACACGTCATCCACTGAGCCATCTCCCCAGCCCCTAACCAGACATCTGTCCTCAATCTGTGCTAGCTGTCTTACCTCTTCCTTACTGTTGGAGGAGGAATTTAATAATGGAGGTACTGTGCCCTGGTGTGGTAACAGCTAGGCAGAGTTCCTGCCCTGTCTCCCAATCCCCCTTGCAGCTCTGTAGCTCTTCTAACCTGCTGTGCCTAAATGCAGTACCTACCTCATAAAAGGACTGTATGACAGTAAGCATCATCTAAGTTAATATAAAAGTACCCGGTAGCAAGCCAGGCATTGGTGGCACACGCCTTTAATCCAAGCATTGGGGAGGCAGAGGCAGGTGGATCTGTGAGTTCGAGGCCAGCCTGGTCTACAGAGTGAGTTCCAGGACAGGCTCCAAAGCAATACAGAGGAACCCTGTCTCAAAAAACAAAACGAAACAAAAGTACCCGAAGCTACAAAGTGCCCTATAAGAACACATGCATGCTATTGCAGAGGCCTGTGGCCCTGTCTGTATGACACTGATCATGAGAACAGTACCTTCCAGACATTCTTGGTCTGTGTCTTTGTTCCCCAGTATTGTGCAGAAAGGACAGGGTTTATCCCTTCGTGCCCGTTTTCTGCTGTCTATGCCTTCCTGCTCAACCCCTGGTGAATACTCAGATCTTACTGCTCTGAGTATGTAGAGCATGCGACACCTTGGCAAGGCACAGTGAACAAAGCTGGGACCATCCAAGAAGCATTTAAATGTTGGCTTTGGTCATCAATCTCCTTAATCTTTAGGAATGAGGAATGTTTGAATTTTAGGAACTGCTCCCTTAAGGGTGGGAGCTGGAGATACACTTTGGCCTAAGTAGTCTCTCAGTGTATTGAAACATCTATCACTTGCTCACACTCTAATTAAGTCTTAAGAACAACAGTGTTTGGTTTCTCACATTCTTTTTGCCCTTTGGTGGAGAAAAGAAACTGACGTTCATGGGCTCTCCATATTCACTGAATATCTGTGACTGAGAGACTTTCCATCACAGACCCATCAGCTTCTCCTTTGAACTCCATTCTTGAATCTTCCTGAAGTTTCTAACCATTCAGCATCACAAGTAGCATTCCAGTCGTCTCCAAAGTAATGTTCTCTGGGTGCCTAAAATGGGTCTTGCTGGTTGTGGTGGTGCACACCTGTAACCCTTAAACTCAGGAGGCTCAGGATGGAAGGACTGTGAGTTCAAGGCCAGTCTTGGCTACATAGGGAGACTATTTCCAGAACTAAAAACATGCAGACACAGAAGATTCTCAATCCTGCCTACACAATTTCTGAATTCTCTGAAAATGCCTGGCCACAGCTACCAAAAGTAGCCAGAAGGTGGCAGGCTAGCCCCATGGTCCAGTGTATCCTGGCTGCCTCCAGGTCCAGCTTCTACCCTAGCCCCATGGTCCAGTGTATCCTGGCTGCCTCCAGGTCCAGCTTCTACCCTAGCCCCATGGTCCAGTGTATCCTGGCTGCCTCCAGGTCCAGCTTCTACCCAGCTTCCCCTGCTTTATGTGGAGGTCTCCAGAGAGGAGCAGGTTGTAAAGGGGGAAGAAGCCAGCTCCCACAGCTCCTTCCTTCCCTTCTGAGATGATAATGAGGTAGGCATCTACTGTCTGGGCTGAGAGTGACCCCACCCCCAGCCCCACAGGCATGCTGCTGTCCCCTTTCTGACCCTTTTCACACTGAGCCCTGCAAACTTTCTTCCTTTTCCTGGGCCAGGGCCAGTCTGTCTCATGACACTGCCTTGCAAGCAGAGGGCGTTGTGGGAACCCATACATCTTCTGGGAGTCCAGCTGGCAGATTATTTAAACACGGGGGCCTTTTCAATTCCACCTGAGAACTACCTAGAGTCCTGGGGAAGGGACCCTGCATTTATTTTGTTTTTTCCTAGTTCTCCTCCTACCTAGTCCCTCAGTGACAAACCCTTGGAGAAAATGACACACCACCTTATGGCAACCTTAATCATCAGCTCATCAGGAAAGGGTAGTGTCTTGTGGGCACCTTCTCTCTCTAAGATGGAACATAGTAGGTCCAATCTTATGGAAGTGTCCATAGCTACTGTGTGTTCATGGTTACAGAAACAACGTCATATCCGGATGGCAATGTTTATGACACCCCTCCACACCCTCCTACTCCTCGATTCTTTCTGCCCTCCCTTCTGTGACGTTCCCAGGCCATGACATGTCTCCTCACTAATAGACATCCTCTGCACAAAATGGAGCTTTTCTGCCCCAGGCTTCAAACACCATCAGTCTATGGGTGTAAACATAAACACGTAGAAGGCCGTTTGACAGCCTGTCCCTGGAGAGAAACAGGAGGGGAACATTCTCCCTTTGAGCCCATGCCCTTCTCCACCACCCACTTTTGATCAGGTTTATAGTGTTTTATATTTTCTGAAGAGAATCTCAGACCCCAAAGCCTCCTTTGCTGCATGGATCCATGGCTGACACTGTAAGATGCAGCTTGTGGAGGTGAGCAGAGCCAGACAAGGGTCTCTAGAGAGCTTCTGGCCACACTACTGGAGGTCTGGTTTAGCAGCAGGTCTGTCCTCTGAGATGAGGAAGAGCAGTCAGTGTTGGGAACTACAGGAGAAAGGAGTGAGCAAATGAGTCCGATTCAAGCTGTTCTCTTCAGGCTACTGCCCCTGCACTGGCTCACTTGCCTAGAATTTACAGCAGTTTCCCTGGCTTCAGGCTTCCAGTCTTGTCCTTGTCTCCTGGTTACCTTCTAACCGAGCATCATACTATCCTCTCTGGATGATCAGCTTCCACCCTTTGATGGTGCATCACCAGCCTAAACTTCAAGTTCAGTCATAAGCTGTGTGCCTGACGTTTTGGTATGTGTCCTGCTTTTGCAAACAAACAGTTCCCAAACACCTTGCCTTAGAACTTTCTGTTCCCTGTTCCCTGTTCCCTAGAAAAACCCTTCCCTGTTGTGATCAGGCAGCCAGTTTCTGCTGATTCTGGGAAGCTTGTAAAGGTGTTACCTCTTCTGGGGAACCGCCTGTGACTTGACAAGCTCATTACAGTTCTGATCTCTATCTCCCCAGTGTAACACACATTTCACTGCAGCCTTGTGGGGCATATCACAGCAGATTGCAATTGTCTCTTCCTTAAGTTGCTTCCTCATCTTTATATTGTTTAGAGCCCAGTGCACACTCAGTGCTCAGGCAGTGTATGTCATTGTCTCCATCCTCGTCTAATCAGGGTGACATAAACTTGCAAATACTTTACCTTAGTACTCAATGGTACAAAACTCACAATGGAATGAGGCAGGATTTTAATTCCCATATGTATAAAATCTTGGTTCTTTATCAGTATGCTAGAGACACTGAAAAGTGGATGTCTGAGATCACTTTTTAAAGAGGCTGGGGAAATAGATCAGTTGATAAAATACTTGTCATTCAAGTGTGAGGTCCTGAGTTCAACCCCCAGAACCTACGTAAAAAGCTGGATGTAGTGGCACAGACTTGTCATTTAGCACTGGGGAGATGGAGGCAAGGGGAAATCCCTGGTCTCAGTGGATATCCATTCTGCCCTACTTGGCAACTTCCAGGTTCAATGTCACAAAAATAAGATGGGCAGGAGCTGAGGAACAGCCCCTGAGGCATCCTCAGGTGCTCACACTCCACACTTAGGCATACATGATTAGCCCCTGCACATGTACACATACAAAAGGAAGGGGGAGATTTGTGGGTGCTCCTCTCAGAGCCCCAAGTTTGCATTTCAAGACGCATTACATTATTTAACAATTATAAAGACCATCACCAGGGGGGCTCAGCTGTGCCATCCTGCTTACAGGTTCTCTAGATGGGGGTCAGGAGTGAGAAGAGGGGCGGGGCAGGTAGATGCAGAAAAACCTGTCCTCAGTGGTCATTTCTCCTCTCAGCTAACTGTGACCTGTAGATGGAGGTTTCTGCCCAATGTGGTCCCTCAGCTGCTTTGCCCCAAATAAACACACAGAGACATATATTGATTTATAGACAGTTGGCCAATAGCTAGGGCTTCTTACTGGCTAGCTCTTAATTATTAACCCTCAACAATCAAACAATTCAAGGACAACACAATAGCATACAGTATCCAAACTCTCTGTGTACTTTCCATCTTTATGTGGATTTCATATTGCTCT